CTGACATTCTTATTCTCCATTGTAAGATCTCCCTGTGGTTCTTCTGTTTCCATTGGCTCTATTGTATATTACTGGATTTTATTATGTGTGATAGTATAAACAAATTTAATATGGAAAATGAGATAATATAGTAGCCATTTGTTCGTTCTCTGTTTTTTGGTTCTGAAAGCCCTATAATATTTTCATTCTCTTGAGTGGTTTTATACTATTTTGTCGTGTTTGATACTATAATGTATGAAATTATGCTCAATTATTTCAAAGAAAGAGACATTATGGTAGTTACTGTTAATTACAGGTAGTCTTGTGATGAAATACTGTGTTGCTTACATTGTTCTGTTCTGATCTGCTTTGTTATATCCTCTTTTGTCTTAATCTCTTTAAAATACAAAAATAAAAAAGATCTGCCTGTGAACTGTACCATGTTGGCAAAAACTTATGTGAGACAACCATAGTGCATTGAACTCTTGACTAGAGAGTTCTTTTTTTTTTTTTTTTTTTTTGTCTTTTTGAGAGAGTCTCACTCTGCATTTCAAGCTGGACTTGAGCTCACTTTTTAGCCCAGGCTAATCTCAAACCCTCAGTGATCCTCCTGTCTCAGCCTCCTGAGTACTGGGATTATAGGCATGTGCCACCGTGCCTGGCTGTTTGACTAGAAATTGTATTAGACTTTTTTGTTTTGTTTTGTTTTGTTTTCTTATTTTTTTAAAATTTTATTTAAGGAGAAAAAAAAAGCAGAAAAAGGGTACAAGTTATACAGAATTTCAGAAAAAAAATAAACAGGAAATCACTAGTTAATGGATTGCATATTGTCATCTTAGAAATACTTGTTCAAGTTACAAAATTAAAGTATATAAAGTGGACATTCAAACAGTGAGACTGCAAACAGTTCTGTTCAATGATCCAACAAAACTCAGTAATATCATTGTCTATCTTATACACTTAAATATACATGCAGTTATATCATTTAGAGCACTTTCTTTTCTTCTCTTTTGTACAATGACTATTACACTTTTTGGGTTTTATTACTCCCACAGTTCTTACTACTTTTTTAGAAGAAAGTAAAACCTAATGTGACATAACAGAACAGAGTCGGTCAAATCAAAAGGGTGGACATAATAGATAATGTAAAAACATAATACAAGCTGATCAACAATGGTTACCATAATGCCTCCTGCTATCTCTAATAGAATTGCCTATATCATCAGTTATAATAAAATTGAACAAAAGAGTAAAGAACGAAACCAACAGAACCAAAACATTGGAGACATTACAGGTCTTCAAAAGTAGATAATAGTCAACCAGAATGGGCGTCATAATGAATCCCACTATCTTCACAGCTGTTGCCTAAACTTTTGAACCTGGTACTATCAAGGAAAACAGAATAGAGGAACATCAGTCAAAACAAGATGGTGAGAGCAATACAGGGCTTCAAATCAAGTTAATAGAAAATCAAAGTAATATATTATATTATTATAATATATCCTGCTATTTTTTTATTTTTCCCTTAATTAAAAGGATAAAAATAAAAAAGTAAATAATAAAATGGAGATTGAGATAAAAGAGGGCATAACAACAAAACAGCGCAGATCAAAACATAACCATTTAAGCAAAATAGTGTTTCACCACAAGATAATCCCGACATAAAAGTAGTTACCATATTGTCTCTTTCCTTGAAATCTTTGAGTATAACTTCATATACTGTAGCATCAAATATATGAGAACAATGTAAAACCATTCAAGAGAATGACAGTATTGCAGGGTATTTAGAATCAACTAACAGAAAATGAACAAAGGTTTCTGTATAATCTCCTTGTCTATGAAAGTTTTTGTTTAAACTATCACATATAATAAAATCCAATAAGATACAACATGTTAAGACCTATGGAGACAGAAGAACAAAAGCTTGATGGGACTTCAAAACAATATGATATTAAATCAGCACTACCTATTATGATGTCATTTTCTCCAAAATAGCTGTTCCTATCATCCAATCTTCTCTGCCTCATTTCTGTTGAGCTCTTTTTCTGTCATTAGTTGTCAGTTTGTCTTCTTCATTTTGTTTTCTGCTCCATTCATTGTGGCCTCTCTGCCACTTTTTCTGGATTCTTCGTATTTTTCTTTTTTAGAATATCCTGCAGTATTCTCTGTAGGGTTGAATTGGTGGTTGCATATTCCCCTAGTTCCTCTTTATCCTGGAAGCACCTTGTTTTTCCATCAATTCCCAGGGATAGTTGTGCAGGATAGATCAATCTTGGATGGAGGTTATTATCTTTCAAAGCTTGAATTATTTCCCCCCATGCTCTTCGTGATTTGATGGTTTGTACGGAGAAGTCTGCTGTAATTCTGATGGGTGTTCCCTTGTAAGTGATCTGTTTCTTGTCTCTGACAGCTTTTAATATTCTGTTCTTATATTGGATTTCTGGTATTTTGATTATTATATGCCTGGGTGTAGTTCTGTTTGGGTTGTAGGTGGCTGGGGTCCTGTATGCTTCATACATCTGAGTATATTTACCTTTTGCTAAATTAGGAAAATTCTCCTGGATTATTTCTGCGAATAGCTTTTGTAGTTCATTTGTTTGTGTCCCTACCTCTTCTTTTATGTTCTTTATTCTTGTTATAGATCCTCTTATCATCTTCTAGTCTTTGTATTATTGCTGTTTGTTTCTTTGTTATTTTTAAGAAGTTTTTCCTTTCATGCTCCCATAGTACAAATCTGCCCTCCAGTTCAGATAATCTGTCCTTAGTTTCTTTCAAGCTGTTATGCCAGTTTTTGACAGAGTTTTTAGTTTCCTGGTAATCTCTTTGAACTTGCTTCACATATTCTATGTTTTCTCTATTTTCTCCATCAAACAATTCTCCCCTTTTTTTCTGTTCTTCCATTCCACCATCTGTTTTCTTGGGTGGTGCTTAGCATTTCTCTAACTATTCTGCTTATGTCTTGCTTCAGGTCATTAATAACTTCATTCCTGAACTCGTCTATGAGGCTCTGGAGATAGCGCTTTATGTCTATTGGTGGCATGTCTGCTATTGCCTGTTTCTCAGGATTGGAGGCCGAGGAGCCTTTCTTGTTGCTCCCTCTTCCCATATTCTTTGTTCTTTAAATATGTAGGAGGCCCAGCTTCCTTCCCTGTCGGCCACAGTCTGTTTGAATTGCTCCGGCTAGGTGTTACCGCCCAGCCTATGCGGGGCTGCTCCTCCAGGTCAACCTACCGAAGGCTTCACCACTAGGGTGCACCTCCAGGCACTGGGACCTGGGTTGTGCTAGCTTACTGGGTCTCAGCCAGCAAGCTAGGCACTGCTCACCAATCCTGCTTGAGAGGGGGATATGTGACTGAGGTCACTACAATGCCCTGTTCTGGCAAGTCTGCCTGGTCCCAGAATGTCCTCTGTTGGAGCCTCCTAGACGGTGGAAGAGTCCCAATTTCCCTCACTCACCGCAGGTCAATGCACAGCTCCCCGCCCATCCCACTTTCAACTCCATTCACCAATTACCGTTCTCAGAGCTTTCGTGCATCTCTCTCCCTGCCGAGCCAATTCAGACGCAGCGGCGGCGGCAGGAAACCCAAATCGCGTCTTTCAATGGCGCGGGCTCCAGCTTCCACGCTGAGGCTTTATCTGTTCCTGTTATAGCACCAGGATTTCATTCCCAGTTGGTTTCTCTCAGTCCAGTTCGTTCTTGGATCAGCAGGGTATATCTCCTCTTGCTTAGGATTCCTCTCTCCACACCATTCCTGGATTCTAAGCTGGGTCTCTCAGAGAGCCTCGGTAGCTGCTGCTATCTGTCCGCCATGTTCTCCCAGAAGTCCTTTTTTGGTTTTTTTTGAGACAGGGTCCCACTATGCAGTTCAGGCTGGCCTTGTACTCACTTTGTAGCCCAGGCTTTTCTCAAATTTGCAACAATCCTTCTGCTTCAGCCTGCTGAGTGCTGGATTACAAGAGTGCACCACCATGCGCATGAGCCCTTTTTGGTTTTTTTGGCTTTTTGAGACAAGGTCTCACTTTGTAGTCCAGGCTGGCCTTAAGCTAACTATATATATCCCAGGCTGGCCTCAAACTTGCAGCAGTCCTCTTGCCTTAGCTTCCCAACTGCTGGAATTACAAACATGTTTTACCATACCTGGCCTGCAGACTTTTTTATTGGTAGTACCATACATTGAACCCAGAACTGTGTGCATGCTGATCAAATGCTTTACTATGTCTTTAGCTACGTCTTCAGCATATCTTTTTAAAATTTTGAGTCAGGGTCTTGCTGATTTGCTCAGATAGTCTCAAACTTGGTATCCTCCTGCCTCAGCCTCCCAAAATAGTTGGGATTACTGGTATGTTGCATGATGTGCAGCTGTTTTGCAATCTTTTTTTCATTTTAGTAATTCATTTACTTAAAACTACTACTTGCTGAGCATGGTGACTTGCACTGCTAGTCTCAGCTATTTTGGATGCTGAAGCAAGGAGGATCCCTTGAGCCCAGGAGCTTGAGGCAAGCCTGTGCAGTACAGTGAGATACATTACACACACAGGAGGAGGCATGTAACTCAGTGCTTAGCATGCACAAGCTCTTAAGTTCAATCTCCAGCACTGCAAAACTTATACCAAAAAAAAAATAATAATAATGCCCCTTATTTCTTTTAAAATGAACACTATGAAATTATAGCCAACAGGGGGCTGGGGATTTAGCTCAGTGGCATAAGTGCCTGCCTTGCAAGCAGGCAGTCGTGAGTTCAATCCCCAGTACCGATAAAAAGAAAAAAGACAAAAAAAAAAAAAAAGAAAGAAATTATAGCCAACCTAGTAATCCTACATTTATGTCTTATAATTACAGTACTTCAAAAATTATTTGAAGAATGACCAGATTTCAAGAATGCTTTTATGCAACTGTTGATAACTCAAAATAAAATTTTAAGGAATATAATTCTCTAATTTGCTTTTTTCCTTTTTTAATTTTAGTATCAGAAGCTTTGAGATCAGCAGGGATCCCATCTCACTCTTCTGTAATTTCACAGCCTTCCAAGGGGAGTAAATCACCAGAGATGCTGATACATCCAGGTCCACCAGACACTGCAGAAATACTAAAAACACTACCTCAGAAATACAGAAGGAAACTAATATCTCAAGAGGAAATGGAGTTTATCCAAGTACGTGGTTGCTTTTTATCATAAGACCGTGCAAAACCCCATAGAATTTGGCTTTAGAATTTCTCTAGCTGACTTATGCTCTTCCTGTAGTCAAGTGTATTCAGACCTAAGACAGAAAAGTAGTACAGGATGGAGAAAGAGAGCTTTGCTGGGACCTCAGTAAGTGTGCACACTATGTCAGTAGATAAAGGCACATGACACTGGACATTGTGGCACACACTTATAACCTCAGCACTTGTGAGGGTAAGGCCTGAGCCTGGATTGCCAAGTAATACTTTCTGTCAAAAAAAAATCTGCTGGGCTTGTACCTCAGTGGTTGAGCACTTTATGCATGAGACCCTGTATTTGATCCAGAGCACCACCAAAAAAACAAAAGCTCCCAGAACTCTTCGGGAATTCAACAATTTTTATAGTGAAAAGAGCTACTGAGTACAAATAATTTGAAGACAGCTGATACAGATCAACCTGAAGGTGCTTCAAGGTCTGAAGTTCTAACAATGGATATCAGTGTCCCAAACCATGAAAGCCTTACATTGTTTTTAAAAAGCTAAAGATCTTGTTGGGCATGGTGGCACATGGCTATAATCCCAGTACTTGGGAGGTTGAGGCAGGAGGATTGCTGTGAGTTCAAGATCAGCCTGAACTACACAGCAAGAGCCTGTCTCAAAAAAGTGGGGCGGGGATATACCTCAACAGTATAGCTATAGCACCTGTCTAGCAAGTGCAAGGTCCTGAGTTCAATTCCCAGCACCAAAAAAAACAACAACAAAAAAACAAAACTAAAAAGCTAAAAATCATGTGCTTAAAATTGTGTAAATCTGGGGCTAGGGATTTAGCTTAGCGGCATAAGCGCCTGCCTTGCAAGCAGGCAGTCGTGAGTTCGATCCCCGCTACCGATAAAAAGGAAAAAGACAAAAAAAAAAAAGTTGTGTAAATCTGTATAGTGACAGTAACGTTTTTTGTCACAATTTAATATCTAATCTTTTTTTATAGTATCTAATCTTACTGCTTTATGTTTGCCTTTTCAGCGTGGAGGTCCAGAATGATTGTGGCTGCTGCTTGTCATCAGACAAAAGAATTATCTTTATAGTGAAGGACTTACAGAATGACATGAAAAGCTGTATATTAAACAACCTTAATAAATATTCTGCAAAAAGAAAAAAAAATACAGAAAATTTAGATGGATATTTGGATCTTCTAATTTATGAACCTTGGTCAGCTTCTCCACAAGCTTACCTAATTGTTTATATACTTTACACTTATTAAAGTATACATTTGAAAGTGTTAGCCTATTAATTTACTCTTGATTTTCAAGTAATACCAGTGACAAACTAGGAAAAGCACAGTGTCTAGTGAGTAAACTAAGGATTTCACACCTTATTTTCTGATTCTGTATAGAAATAGAAAAAAAAAAAAAACGCACTAGATATAATTACTGCACTAGGGGGACTGGGGATTTAGCTCAGCGGCATAAGCACCTGCTTTGCAAGCAGGCGGTCGTGAGTTCGATCCCTGGTACCGATAAAAATGAAAAAAGACAAAAAAAAAAAAATTACTGCACTAGGGAAGTGGTTTTCCTGAAATTATAAGAGGATTGGTAAAACAACATCAACATTAATCTTGATTCTGTAAGGTTTTTTCATTCACAAAGTTACTGGAGTAAACTGGCTTAAGCATATCCTATTGTAAATGATAAGTATATAACCAATGACTAGGATGGAAACCTGGGAGACAATTTTAAAATGTACTTGTAACCTTGATTAAGAAAAAAATCAGTATAAAGTGGAAAATAAGAGATCAAAATGAATATAGATAGGAATAGATGTTTCACTAGAAATTGCAGTATCTGTTTGGGGAATGTTAAAGTCTTGGTCTTTGGTTTATTTTGCATGTGATCACGTGTGCAAATCCTGATGACCCATTAACTTTCTTAAACTTAATATCTGAAAAGCTCATAAAGTCAGGCTACATATTTGGCTTACGAAGCTATACAATTTTAATAGGCTTTTCCTGTGCCAAGTGAAAGTAAAGCCTCAGAAAACTAAATAAATTCTCTTTCATATTTGTGATAATTTCTAGAATATGATTCAAAGTCATCCCTGATAGTAAGGGTTAGCTCAAGAACAAAGAACTGTGGAATTGTTTTGGGTTTTTTTTTTTTGAACTGGGAATCAAACTGAGGACCTTATGCTGCATGCCTGTAATCCCAGATAATGGAAGGCTGAGGCAGGAGGATTGCTGAGAGTTCAAGACCAGCATGAGTCACACAGTGAGTTCAGGATCAACCTAAACTATGTAATGAGACCCTGTCTCAAAAAAAAAGCTTTATAAACTGCAAAATGCTACGCAAGTGCTTAATGGCTTTTATATATGGAGTGAACGCTTGGCCATAGTATCATCACTAAACACCTCTGCATTACCATAAGATGTTTTGGGCTAGGGGTGTAGCTTGGATTCAATGTGTGCTCAGTATGCACAAGGCCCTCTGGGTTTTATCACCAGCACCAAAATACAATGGTCTCAAAATGGGAAGGTACGTGTCAGTAGCATAGTACAATGTGAATATCAACATCCATCCCATGTATACCTTGGCTCTCAAGCTTCCTACCATCAGAGCATCTCATTACCTTTTTTTTTTTGGTACTGAGAATACAACTCATGACCTAGTGCTTGCCAGGCATGCGCTTGTGCAGCTGAGCTAAACCCCCGACCCCTTACTACTTATTTATACTACAAGTGAGATTAAATGATTGTTAGTAATGTGTTTCAGAAGGAACTTTGACCTTGGCAACCTGCATCACTTAATATGATTTGCCCCCATTAAGAAAATGTAAAAAAAAAAAAAAATAATAATGTGTATCAGCACTTTGGGAGGCTGAGACAGGATAACAAGTTTGAGCCTACTCTGGGAAATTAAACAAAACTGCCTTAAAAAAAAAAAAAACTAGGAATGTAGCTCAGTGTAAAAGTATTAGGTTCAATCCCAGTGATCCACACAATTGGTAAGAATATTGTTTTCTGCAATGTGAGAGTTTTATGTAACTCCAAGTAGTAACAAAGGCCAGAAAGATAACTAGTGTTGACTAATTAAATATTTATCAGACACTAGTCAGAGCTTTACAAGTTGTTATGGCTTGTATCTAGATGTCCCCCCAAAGCTTCATGTGATCATAGATGGAACTTTTTCAGAGGTGGCTCAATCTAGAGTGTGTAATGCTGGTGATTACTAAATTAGTACACTGGGTTAGCACTGACCTAATCCTGATAGCCTATAATATAAAAGTGCCAAAAAGCAGCTGCTAAGATCCCTTGCTTGCTTTATCTTCTGCCTACCATGAACTTTTTCTTTGCAGTGCCTGCCATCTTGCCTTTCCTTTTTGTCAGCTGACTATGGCCTGAAACCCCAACAAACAACCAAATAAACCTTTCTTCCCTTAACTTTGACTGTCAGGTATTTTGTCTCAGCAACAAGAAAGATCATTATGACACAATTGTAAAAGTCAGTTGAGCCTTGAAGCAAACTTTTGTGTCCTGTTAGAAGGAAAAAGAGGTGTAGAGCAATCTGCGTAAGTTATACACCTAGTGATTGAATATTCCAATGGGCCAGTACTCAAAGGCAAACAATCTAGTTCCACAGCATAAATACAACTGCTACACTAACCTGTTGAAATTACTGTATTGTCGTTAGTACTCTGTTGCCATTTTCAACACACCTCTGAAAAATGATTGTCAACTCTTTAAGTATCACATGTAACTGGATGTGGTGACATGTCTAATCACAGCACTTTAGCTAAATCAGGAAGACTGCCCCAAGTTCAAGGCCAACTGAGCTACAAGGGTAGCCTGGACTACATAGCAAGACCCTATCTCCAAAAGAAAAAAGGAAAAAAAAAAAAAAAAAAAAAAAAAAAAAAAAAAAAAGCATTGAGTTTGCCAGAAAAGGGGGGGGGGGGGGGACAATTTCATACTGATAGCTGCTCCAGCTCAGAAACCTGGAAATGTCTGTCCAACTCATATCCAGTCTGTCAGCAAATTCTGTTGGCTAGAAGTAAAAGTTACCACCCTAGGGGCCAGGGATATAGCTCAGGGGGCACAAGCACATGCCTGGCAAGTGCAAAGTCATGAGTTGATCCCCCATACCAAAAACAAAAAACAATAAAACCCTAGTAGAGCCGTCTATATAATTGCAGTAATTCTCTAGCAGGCCTTACTTCCTTTGCCCTTTTAAATTTCTAGTGTAGTATCTCTCAATAGCCAGAGTGAACCTTTTAACATATTGTCCTAACATATTTGTTTGCCCGAATCCCCCTGGTAGGTTTTCACTTATGTCTTGTACCACCCTAAACAACTGCAACACCATTTTATCCACATAACTTGATCCTGCTTTATTGTGTCTGTAGCATTTATCTTTGTGTACATTCCACTTTGTCTCTTCCCACTCTTTTCGATTTTTTAGAGTACAATAGTGCTTGGCACATAGCATTCAATATATATATTCACTAAATAATTGAATTTAACGTGTTTAAGGAAATTGGTAAGTTCCTTACTGGTCACGGTTGTCGGTTTCTCCCCCCCCCCTTTATTCTTCTCTTTTTCTTCTTAGTTTTGTGGTACTAGGGATTGAACCCAGAGCCTAAACACCTTATTAGCTTCCCCCCCCCTCCACTTTTTTTTTTTTTTTTTGAAACAGAGGCTGGGTAGACTGCTCAGTCTAGACTTCAAATTGTGATCCTTTTGCCTCAGACTCCAAAGTGCTGGGATAATGAATCTGCACACTAGGTCAGTTTGCATTTAACAGCTACTATGTATAAACTTTCTGCGTGTTTCATTTAATTCTCAAAACCATCTATGCCATTTCCATAGAAGACAAGAATCCTCTTTCACAACACATGTTTTAGTAGCACTGGATTTTGTTTCCCTGGACTTGTTTCTTCAGCAAGGTACTGGCTTTAATCTGACCAGCCTTTTAAGAATTTGGCACTCCATTTTACCAGAGATTGGTGGGACAGAAGGGAGCTGGCGTCTATAGCAACCCAGACGCCAGGACGCGGTTGAGGTTGAGCACGAAGCTGAAGGCAAGATCCCTTGTAAGGCCAAGTTCTGCACATCTATATACACCCATCAAAGCCAAGTTCACAACACTACCAGAACGCAGACCCATCCTCGCTAGTATCTAAGTCCAAACGTTAAAAAGGGACACAGCTGTCACATAAACCACTCCACTTCCGTAACCAACAAGCACCACGTGGCACGTCACCCAGCTGGCTTTCTGCTGGCTCCGCCCGGATGCCTTTAGGAGCGACCCCGCCCATCCCGGAAACGGGGCGGAGCTCCTTGAAGTCCGCTCCCAGTTGAGCGGAAGTGTCTGTTAGAGGCTCTCAGGCAGATTTAAGTTCCTACTGTGCTACGGCCTCACTGCTTTCGAGTGGAGTTGGGCTTTGTACGTGCAATGGCTGCGGATGTGAAGTCTCGAGCAAAGCGCTATGAGAAGCTGGATTTCCTCGGAGAGGGACAGGTGAGGGCTGGGACTGGATTGGGAGGGCCTGGAGAAGAGAGACCGCGCTGCCTTGGCCTCTACGAGTGGCGCTGGAGCCGGAGGACTGGGCCGGCTGCTTGTCTTCCCTGCTGCCCCTCGTTGCTTCCTGGGGGGACCCTGGGCCATCCCCTTTTCCTGAGGAGCAGGCTGGAGCGGGCCGTGAACTGCGTGGCCGCGTTCCAGGCCCCGCGCGCCCACGAGGAACCCGCGTCCCCTGTGAGCGCACGCACCTTGCCCCAGTTTGGCCTCTCTTTCTAGTTTGCTACGGTTTACAAGGCCAGAGACAAGAACACCAACCAGATCGTCGCCATTAAGAAAGTAAGTGAAATGTTCTGCTGTCTTCCTCGAGTGGCTCTGGGTGGCCATTTTCCACCCTTGGCCGCACTCCGATGAGGTATTACCGCTGTCGTTTCCAAGACGATCTCATTCCTGGCGCCTTGTGCTCCGAGATGGAGCTCTGGAATTGAACTAGGTTTTGCTACATGGATGTGACTTATAAAGAAAAAGCTGTGTTATTTTTGCTGCATGGCGTCGGACGTCAGCTAAGAGGACGAATCGCCCCATCTACTGAGTCCTTAAAACTACTGGATATTATATCTTTCCAGGTTACTGGGTCTGTCTCACCCCTAGCCATTCTGTATGTCATGGTTGTATCATCTCTGCACACATTTACCACGGAAGGTTTTCGGGAACATTAACAACGCTGGTGTGGTGCATTTTCCAAAATGATTAAAGAAACGCTTTT